ACGTATTAAAGAGTGGGGAAGTGCGTTGGAGGTGCATCAGGAAAAATTTAAAATGTTTAGCTAAATTGTATATAGTTGATGCCGAATATATTGTGACCAGGAGTCAGTTAACTCACAATCATGAACCAGATCAAGGTTCTTTGCAGAGAAAAATTGGCACAAATGCATGCAAGCGAAAAGCCCAGGAGGACATATCGGAGAAACCTTCGAAAATTATAAAAAGGGTCCTTTCAACAAATTTACCGGACGAATTGATTACCGCGGATGTAAATCTCATAAGAAGAAATGTGTATAACAGTCGTCGTCAGCTCCTGCCAGCCCTGCCTAAAGATATTCATGAAGTACATACTGTAGTTGATATGTATTCTCCTAAAACGACAACAGGTGAACATTTTTTGTTTATTAACAGTTCAGTTGATAATATCATTGTTTTTTGTTGCCAAACAAATATTACTACGTTGTGTAAAATGAATGTTATATATATGGATGGCACATTTTCTTTTTGTACGAAATATTTTAACAATTATTTACCATTCATGGCCTAGAAAATGGGCACTATATACCTCTTTTATATTGTCTGTTACCAAATAAGACTGCTGACACATATATTAAACTTTTTCTGTTGCTTAAATCTAAAATTTTTGAAATTTTAATATAGTTTTTGAACTGATGGAGGCATTCGTAGATTTTTAAATATCAATACGTATCGCACTAAGAAATGTTTTGTCAAAAACGAAAATAAATGGTTGTAGATTTCACTTACATCAAGCGTGGTACAGGAAAATTCAGTCTTTAGGGTTAAGTCAAATATATAAAGACAAAAACTCTGAAGAAAGTAAATGGCTTATTCACACTTTTGGGCTTACTTATTTAAAACTATCTGATGTTGAGGATTGTTTTATATTTGATTTAATGTCTTGCAAACCAAATAATGAACTGTTGGATAAATACGCAGACTATCTATTACAATATTATATAGCACCTGATTCCGATTTTCCACCAAATATATGGGCAGACGAAAATCCATCTATAAAACGAACCACAAACGCTTGTGAATCGTTCCATTCTAAATTGAATTCTTCATTTTATTCTTGCCACCCTTCAATATTTATTTTTATAGAAAAGTTAAAAGAATTCCAGATCGATTCATATTTAAAAATAAAAAGTTTAAATAATACAGCAAAAATAAAAGACAAGCAAGTCAGAAATAAATTAAAATTCATTGAAAATATGGTAAATATGCTTCGGTCTGGAAAAATTTCTAGATTTAATTTTGTTAAAGCTGTATCATATCAAAATTCGTAAAAATGTAATGTATGTTTTCAGCTCTAGTTTTTAAGTAATAGTGTCTTTGATTTTGGTTTAATAAAGAATGTTATATCAATTCTAGATCTTATTTTATTTTACCTGCTCCTTCCGGCCGAAAATACCTATACGATAAGAACGAACCCTTAAACCTCCGGCCGAAAATACATATTACCTTTAGGTACCTGTCCTTTTTCCGGCCGAAATTACATCCGCCCAGCTACATCTAGGTAGAAAAGGATTAACTGAAATTCAAATTTAAATCATGTTATCAAAAACCGGAAGTGCTGTGGCATCCTTAAGCAATCTTTTAACTGGAAAAAAGATATTTTATCTAAACACAAGGTGAATTTATTTTTAATTTTTTTCCAGCATCTAGAATTTCTTTTTTAGATATTGCTACACAACTTACATTTAATAGAATATTGGGATCAAAATTAAAATGTAAAGTTAAGTCATCATGATCTGGTAAAGGAAAGGCACTGTACTAAATACATTCACTTCGAATCAGGATTATCATACTATTCATCGTAATAGAACATTTTATCAGGAATTCTAGAAGTTTTCTTGTTAATAATAATACATGACCAGATTAACTTTAGTTCATCCGGTAGCTTGATCTAAATATTCTCCAAATACAATGGGATAATAGTATATTATTTAACGAGCGGTAATGCAGGTCATAACTCACGCAGATGAAGTTTGCAGCACGAGCCGCAGGCGAGTGCTGTAATTCATCAAGTGAGTTGTGACCATTACCGCAAGTTGAATAATGTACTTTATCTACGACTATAACAATAAATACTAAGATTCAAGTATCGAGAAAGAATTATATAATTGACTAGATGATAAAAATGTTTGAATCTTTGTAAAAGCTATTAATATTTAACTTTTTAGCAGTATTATTAGAAATTAATTTGAAAACGTCGAAATTATTTTGTTAAAATATCAAATGACATTACTCCCCTCAATGTATTAATAGACTGTTCCGTCTATTGAGAGGCTTTGACAATTTAATACTTTTAAAATCTTTTAATTATTCATTCCTTTCCAGTTGTTTAAAAATCTTTCAAACATTTTACGCCAATGGAACGTATTAACCCAGACAACACACCAAATCCCAGAGATATCCGCAGAATATCTTTTGTGGATATCCAATATATCCACAGGATATCAGAAATATTCCGTGGATCTAATATGGATATCCAAATGTCCGTCTATATCCAGGATATAGAAGATATTCACTAGTAATACCACTAGAGGTCAAATTATTTCCTGATATTAATTTGACCTCGCGTGGTATTCGGTAAGAAAATTCCACGCCGAATTATGGTTGAAAATTAAATATTTTTAAAATTTATTTTTCGTTTCTCAACAATGCAAATTATTTTCTCCAAGTCACCAGTGAAACATAAAAGGTGTTGTCGCCTTGATTGTTGAGTTGTCATGGTAACTAAGTGAGACCCTAACCTCGAATTTAATTTCAGTTTTGAAGTTGTCAAGCGGCCCGACGTAAAAAAATGTTTCGCTGCAATTATTTAGGCCTTCAAATTGCTTATTTCTACTCATTGTAGTTGCATGGGAATACGATTTGAAAATAGAAAATAGTATATTCTTTAATTTTACGTAAGTTTTGAATAACTACAAGTGGTAGAAAATTGTTTTTCTGCGTTTTTATTAACATGCGTTATGAGCGCTTTAAAATGGTATGAAATTCATAACCAGCGTCAGCAAGCATCAATCGTAGGAGGCTGTGATCATTGTATTTTGACAGTTCAAAACATTAAATAACTCGCGTTTTGTTGCGATAAAGAATATTGCACAGCAAGTAAAACCAACAAAATTACCTATTTGTTTAAAAATGAATCGATTTGAAAATCATACGCTATGCAAAATATGCGTGAAATTGTCTGATGTAATGATCAATCATTGCACCATGACTTACTTACTCGGATTAATAGAGGATTGTGGCTCCAACTTGAAAAACGAAAATTTGTTCCGAATTGTTCACGAATATTTGCACCTAAACTACGCAAAATTCAAAGTGCTGAATGGGAAAAAGGTGAATAAATTAGTGTCTAAATATTATATATATTTTATTAGACATAGACACATAATTCAAAGCATCCAAAGTCCTGCATTTTCGCCATTAAGAAGAAAAGAAGTGGCCGAAGAATATAGAAAACACCTTAGCATTGTAACTAAAATGTATCAAAACTAAACCTATTATGTGAACAAATAAAAACCAGTCTGTCAAAAATGGTCTGTTATTGTAAACGTCAAAAAATTTCCAGTATAATTCGCTGTTGGGTACCCCACGAGAAAAAAATTTCCACTAAAATACCTCCGTTGCCATGGTGATCTGTCAAAAACACGTATTTTGATTGGTTCAAAATTACAGGTGTGGAATTTTCAGCAAAATATCTAATAGGTATCTTCCAGAAAATACAAGAAATCACAGAGATATCCACAGAATATATTTTGTGGATATTCAATATATCCAATATGGATATCCAACCAAATGTCCGTCTATATCCCAGGATATAAAAGATATTCGGATATTCAGCAAAATATTTTATGAGTATCTTTAGTAGAGGTTCATAAGTAACCAATGATTATTGAATAACGTCAAAAGAAAATAGCAGAGATAAAAAATATTTTCAACACTCAAAATATTTACAACACTCTGCCTTTGATTTTGCCCACTAAGAAGAAAGTCATCCTTATTAGGACTCTTCGAGCAATAAATGAAAATTCTCGACTCCAGTCTCTAATGGAGTGATTAGGACGCACATTTCGATCGAACTCGATTACGGCGGGTCGAGCATAAGTAGATGCGATAGGGGTATCGCCATCTATACTTAGTAAGCAGAATCAAATAACATCTAGTGGATATCCACGATGGTTTGCGTTAGACTTTGATATATTTAGTGGATGTTCATGGGATATTGAATACACCTTAAAAAAATTAATTTTAAATATCTGAACGGTACTATTAGCCACAATGGCGAGCACAATGGCGTAATTTTTTAATAATTTGCTATATAATTACTATTATTTATGGACATTTGCATGTCTATAAATTACATTTCATGGATATAAAATAGATATCTACCATGGACTGGACATTCAGTGGATATTGGGATGTTCAGTAGATATCCAAAGGATTTGGTGTGCTGTCTGGGTATCGACTTTAAAATTTCCAAGAATTTACTGTGCACACTATTTACATACCGAATTATCGTAGGAGCCCAACATAAGTTATAATAACTCACTATTAAAACTCACGCTATTTGTTTATTTATTTATACTACTAATTGCTCAAAATCAGTTGAATTATTAATATATAAATTAATAGGAGTAGATAAATAGTGTTTACTTGATATTTTCTCTGAATATACTAAATTCTTGGTAATAAACAATATTTTCACTTGCTTTAAATTTTCTATGAAACTTAACTTTTTCTTTAATAAGTTTTATAATTTCCCTAGTATGCCAAGCTGCATATAATATTATTGCTTAAGATTTTTTTAAAATTGGAACATGATAAAGGATAAAAGATTTTTACGCCAACATTAATATTTGTAATATTTTCAAAAAATTCCAATGTGTATGTAAAAACTCATTACTTATTTTTTAAAGTTGTAAGATTTATGGATAATTTTTGAAATTACCTACTTTTATAATTGTTTTAGGTACGATATTGTCTTCGATATTATGCATGTTCGTATGGGCATTGGGATCATTATTTGCATTCGCCGGTGGTCACGCTCAGGCGTTCATTTGCGACCCGCTTTTCGATTCGCCGGATTACTCCGTGCTCGGTGAACTTTTCGACTCGGGAGGTACGTTTTATGAAGACGGCGTTTTCGAGCAATTTACTCAAGGAAATGATACCATCCGCTTAGCTAATGTTTTAAAGTAAGTCACAACTAACTTTATACTAAATACAGGGTTGTCCGTTGATAATGAGACACAGATCAACTATGAATTCCTTGCATAAAAATATTGCGATATAACACAATTTACCTTAGTTTAATTCTTGATAATAAAAAAGATGCAGGGTGCAGGGGTGGTTTCTCCATTGGTTTACTTGTGTAGTGAAATTTCATAAAAACATTTTCAAATCGCATAAATAACAAAAAAAATATAAATTCAATTTTAATATTTTTATTATTTTCATAATTGGTAATCTTTGCCCAAGATAGCACAAAGTCGTCTTTAAGACGTCTAGTATAAGACATTCGAGACGTCTGCTATTTCCTGAAAGACATCTTTAAGACGTGTTAGAAGACGTCTGATGTTACAAAAAGCGACGTCTTAGACGTCTTATTAATGGCTTATATTGGTCTGTAAAGCTTAAAATAAGCCATAAATAAGACGTCTTTAAGACGACTTATTAATAGCTTATAATGGTCTTGTAAAGTCTTAAATAAGCCGTAAATAAGATGTCTTTATGACGCCTTATTATTGGCTTATAATGGTCTTGTGAAGCTTTAAATAAGCCATAAATAAGACGACTTATAAATAGCTTATAATGGTCTTGTGAAGCCATAAATAAGACGTCTTTAAGATGTCTTATGAACGTAGGACGTCGGATATCTTGATTATTAAAAAGCAGAACAACCTTGCAGATTATAAAATAATGCAAAAAATAGAATTAAAATATTTATTGATAAAACATCTACTGATCACAGGTCACTAAGAGTTATTTTCTTTGTAGCGCATTCGATTACTCCTCTTTAGCCATAACTGGATTGATTTTTCTCTTTGATTTGTAGTTGCCTTTGTATGGCTCCTAAAAAGAAATTTAGTTAAGAGCATCTAGTCACAGAAAATTATACTTTACAAAAGTTAGTAAAAACCGACAGAACAGTTATCTATAAAGCAAAACAAAAAATTAATTTCTTAGTATTTTAAATCAAAGAATTTTTATAATCATTTAATGCAATATGAGCTATTATGCTTAATCGCCTACTTTAACAATTTTACTTTAACTTCACTCAAAATGGCTATCTAATAGGGAGTTTTTGATATTATTAGTTCTTAAAATCTCCATAAAAACAGACAAAAATGATACTTGACGAATATCTGAATTAAATCTTAGATGTTTACTTTTAAATTAATTTAATTATTCTTAGAAGAAATAGGATATTAATGTTCATATTAATGTTCTATGTATATAAACAAATATTCATTTGTTACCTGTATTCCAGGAACGTGCTACATCGGTAACACAATTTATTCTCAGGGCCAACTAGAGGGGGGGGGGTAGCCGGGACTAATTCCCGGGGCCCGGACTCAAATGGGGGCCCGGCAGCGGTATAAGGGGGGCCCGACAACTGGTTTTTTTGTTTTGTATGAGAACACTCAATTTAAGTAGAGGAGGAAAAGTTTTTGTTTGAGAAGCTTTTTTTTGTCACGGGGCCACCGATCTAGAGAATTGTCCTGGGGCCCGACCTGACTCTCGGCTATTCTTCCCTCTCTGGTTTTTGTTTCATATTATTTAAGTAGAAAGAGACACAAATGCTCAAAATAGTCGCTTTTGGTGGCTATAATCGTGTACGCAATAAAATAATCAATAATCCACAATGAGCTTGGGCCATATAAATTTTTGGCTTGGGCTTGAATGTATTTCTTCTTTTCTTCGTTTTATATGGGCTTAATCTTTTCACTTTTCCACTGCACTTGATATTTGATTTCAATCATCTTCTCCAAATATTACACCGAATATTTTGTTTAATTTTGTATACTTTTTAAATTCGGATGGTCACTTTTATACTAGATATTTTGTGATTTTTATGGAATTGCTTGGCTCCCGATTCGGAGAACGCCATTTCAATATTGCCACGATGGTGTCCGAATCGGAAGTCCGACTTGAATATAATGTTAAATCAAACGTCAAACTTCACTTCATTTGATTCTTCTTGTTAAATTTGAATTATGTAAACCATGCAAGTTTCCGTCCGACTGAAAGACGTTTGCAAGACGTCTTAAAGACGTCTTTGAGCTCTCACAATAATACGTCTGAATTATGGCTTTTGAAAGACGTCTTATAAGACGTCTTAATAACGTCCTAGGACATTGGGACCAAACCAAGACACAAAAAAGACGTCTTTCAGATGTCATATGCTATCTGGGATTTTTTGATATGTCACTGAGCTCTGGCTCGTCACGTCTGTGTCAGTGCATAATGCTGATTGAACACCAGAGTGACCAGAGGTTTCCGCAAATGCCTATAGTTAAAAAAGAGGTCTACAAATCCATAAAACAATGTGGCTCCTAAAATACGCTATTTTGTGCATCGCACATAAACAAAATGTGACGTCACAAAGTAGGGCGAATCAGACGAATTTTTTCAATCATTGAGATGCTATGACGATGCTAAAAGTATTCGTACTTTTGAATTACACTTTTACGTCATATGTCAAATTCGAGCTAGAGGAGTTAGTCAGTTTTGGTAAAAATAAATGTAATTTTTTTAAAATAGCGTGATTCAAATGATATAAAATCATTTTCATTCCGTCAATCTTCCAATATAAAATTAGTATCTTCAAATTAATCGAAATACGACTCAAAGTGACGCACTTGTGATATCACGAGATAGTGTTTATGTCGTCTCTACTTAATTTTGTCTCGATGTTTCCAATCAAACTCTTTATTATAAATCCCCATAAGACAATTTTAATTGTGTTTAAAAAATAAAACTGTGACTTTAATAAATCGGAAGTACGTGTGTCAATTCAACCATTGTTAGCGAAAATGTCTCCAAGGTAAAACATTTACTATTATTCTAAGCATCAAAATATTTTTTAAGTTATTTTTTGTTTGTTTATTTGCAAATTTTAAACAATAATTTAGTTTTACCATGTGTTTTGTATCCAACTGTAAGTACTATATAGCAAGCAAAAAATTTGTTAATTTTTTTGTGTCCTCCAAAAGAGATACACAAAGTTTCAGCAACAGAAAACTATGTAAAGACAAAATGTATTCGTAATTATATTCGAGTGTATCGGGTAAACTATAGCAACTTTATTTTGTTGACTTTTATTTAAAACGTATAGGAAAACTATTAAATTTAAGCGATGAATGGCTAACTCTATTTCTTGCCGTAATATAATTAAATCGGTGAGTGAAAGAACAAGACATATCCAAAATAACCCTTTTGAGAAAAACAAAAAAACTGTTTTAAAAGAGAACTATGGGTTATTCGGCCTAATTATGTATTGTAAAGTTATAGAATTTTTGTTAACCGATAATAATACGTACATAAATTTAAAAATAAAATTATGCAAAAAATGATATTTAAAAAAATGACTTGAATTAAAAAATGAGTTAAATTTTTTTTGTAGCTTTATTGATTATTATTTAACAGACTTATTTGTAATTTTTTAATCAAAATCTTCATTTTTGACTTTCCAAAAAATAATATATGGTAGTAAAACTCTAGGATTTCATCACTAAAGTAGAATAAAAGTATCTTTATATTGGCCATCTTCTTTACGTTAATAGGAACAACTTCTGAGTATACCTTTTCTAATGGCGAGCATACACGTAACGGTCTACCGGAGAAGTCTACCTATGCAGGTGTGCCTGCGCAGGTCAGCTTCATGTCGTAGCGTGTATGTCTACCTGTGTAGGTACACCCACACAGACAGACCGTAGCGTGTATGCCCGCCATAAGGGTAACTGCAAATTGGCTATTAGGTTTGATCAGTCTAATGCGCCCCACACATAAAAGTGTGCGAGAAAAAACCGCCTATGAAGGCACTTGTAGTAACATATCTAGGAGTTTTACCAGTGTATGTAAACTGGCTGTACTGCGGAATGACAAAATTAGCTTTTTGTTCATCAACTGATTTAGAGGTTTTTTTCTGAAATTGCTACCACCAGTTTCTGAAATCTGTGTCAAATTTGTCTTCGAAACGACATGGCTACTGAGTGAAAAAATAGTACGTGCGCCATACTTATACTGTTTTTTCACTCAGCCGAAAATTGAACAAGCCCCCATCGCTCGTATGATGTTGGTCGGTGTATTATAAATAAATAAATTCTTTATTGCCCAACAGATATAACATCCAAAGATAGGACAAAATATAACATTAATAGATTTTTAAGAGTAAATATTAATAAGTACTAAAATAAATAATAATAACAAAATATATATATAAAGCTAAAAAAAAAGTGAAAATAAAAATTATAAATTAAATTAACCCTGCGCAAAACATGTTCAATTCAAGTTTTTCAAAAAAAAAATGTATATTACAATTCAGAAATAAGTACTAAGATGGTAATAAATAATAATAACAAAATGAATATAAAGCTTAAAGTAAAAATTAAAATTAAAAATTGAGGGTGACTATGCGCAAAACATGTGCAAGTTTTTCAAAAAATATATCACAATTCAAACATAAAATATTAACACTTTGGCACAAAATATATATTGGTGATTTCATTAGCAGGTTAGTCCTGGGAATAGGAAGAGAAAACGTGTTGAATGTCCGTGCATTTTGTCGTGTTACTAAAAAGTAAAGTCCTTCCAGTAGAATAGAACAATCAATTATATTATGAATTATTTTATAAATTGTAGAAATTGACATTAATTTTCTTCTATTTTCAAGGGATTGTACATTATATCCATTACGCAACACATTTTCATCAAATCCGTGGGGGGGATAGATACCCCTAACCTTGTAATTTAAAAACTTTAAAAATTTGCGTTGCACCCTTTCAATGCTGTTCTTCTGCAACTCTGTCTTCGGATACCAAATCAAAGAAGCATATTCCAACTTGGAACGAACTAATGAAAAGTACAGTGACTTTAAGGCAGCTTCAGTTCTAAACTTTTGACAATTGCGAAATAAAAATCTTAACATTTTATTTGCAGATTTAGTAATAGTATTAACATGTACACTAAAAGT